GCCAAACAATTGTTCACATCATCGAAGTGGCCCTTGGGTGCGCTGTGTGGGCATCTCTCCACGTAATATAAAGGAGTGTGCAGTGATGATGTCTTAAATGATGAATAGTTCTAAAGAAAAGAACGTGTGATTCTCTGCTTATGGGGACTTTTTCAGCAATTAACCCAGTACATTTTGTTGTCCTCTACTGCTGCTTGGGAGAATTTCAAAAGGGCTAACTCCTCCAATAGCCAGCACTTGCTAATTAAAAGCTTAACGCATTTTTTCCTGCACCACAATCAATAAAGAATACTTCTGCTGATTGGGATATTGTTCCCAGCTCCCACAGATCTGATGGCAGCAACCCCTACCCAAAGGGGCCAAGAGATGTTCTCACCCATTTTAGCCACATAGTAGTGACGATCACAATACACCTCTCCGTATTTTCATGAGAGCTATGGGGAGAAATCAGGTTACAGCGCAGTTATTGCAGACATAAAGCCGTGCGAATATATGTAACAGTGGGTCGTGGCTATGCAGTCAGGCGTACCAGTCCTGGCGAAGGCCTGAAACTCCACAGACATTGCTCATATACGTCCTTCCATTCATCCCTGCGTTCATTCATTCATGCAAACCCCAGACCCCTCTCACTCTCAAAAACACCTCCTGCTGACAGCATCGCCGCTTATTCATATCAGGCCTTTGCTGCTGTCATGCTTCATTTTGGAGATGTAATGAGGCATTAATGCTTATCTTTGATGTGTGAACTGTGTCAGAATATCCTGTTCTTCTGAGCTCTGGATCCATCAGAATCCACCACAAAATGTGAACAAAATCACCATTGTTTGTAAAATTGACCCAGCCCCACTGAGGGAGCGTTTCAGCGGGCAGGCAGGAAGCAAGTGTGCGCGGCACTTACTGCATCCCAGCCCTTTTAATTGCTTAACCAGTTCCTTCTCCTGTCTCCTTGTGCTTTCTCAGCCTCACACCCAACCTCCATCCTCTCTTTTGTTGTCCAAGGCCTCCTATTACCCCACTTACCAGCACTGCAACACTGCTCTGACTATGTGCCAGGCAGCCCCTGCTCTCCTTCATGACTCGGAGATGCCAACCGCAGACCTAGATGTAGCTTAGACATGGTCTGGGGAAGACGGAGACCTTTTTTGCAGTAATTCTTTCCTAAATCTAATGCATCTTCCTTCGGGAAGGCTTCAGTTTAGTGCTGATGTCTAAAAATAACCACCACCAAACAAATAGGGGAATGGTAGCCACCGTTTTGCTAAAGCTGTTGCTTTGTCGACCAAGTCGCAGGATGGCTGACGGCCCGGGCAGTGCATTGCAGCATCTCTTCGGTGGGTACGAATAACTCGTGGTGGATTTCCTGCAATGTCAGCGTGTTACCACAGTTAAGATTTCTAAAGATTAGAAATCCAAAGATTTCTAAAATGGCAAGTGATGCTGAGGGCTTCATTTCTGACACTACTGAAACCCTCTGCAGAAACATAACTGACATCATTGTCTGAAAAATCTCAGCACCTGTCTGGGGGCCGACCGAGCCTCTGGATTCACAAGTTGCATCTAAAAATGTTGACTGAAAAATTTGTGTGTATGTTTCTGTTCTCCCTAAAACAAACAAACACATGCACAAAAAAAGAGACTCGTGGGTAGATCCTGGGGTAGCAGAAATACTCTCGTGTACTGTTTTTATTTTCTGCTTTTTGTATCAGAGCGAATTGGATGAGAACCAAATACAGATGGCTGGAGACGATGTGGGTTTGCCAGAAGACCTTCAGAAGATGGTGGCAGAAGATCAGGTGGAGGAAGAGGACAAGGACTCTATCCTGGGACAGCTGCAGAACATCCAGAATATGGACATGGATGCCATCAAAGAAAAGGCACAAGCCACCTTCACCGAAATGAAACAGGCTGCTGAGCAGAAATGTTCTGTGATGTAGAAGAGACGCCACTGCCCAAGGGGTGTGGATCCAGGGGCGGCAGAGGGAGGGCGGGCAGCGGAGTGCACTTAGCTCTATAGCATTCAATGTAAATATAGAAAAGCGAGAGAGAGAGACTTTGAAACCTCGAGGGGGATCAAAATTTACACGCTGTGACTGCTTAGCGTGAAGTTACAACCGATCCTTGCTTTTTGACATAACATTTTTCCCCATGGAGAAAAAATGGCTTTAAAAAAGCTGATACTGGGGAAAAAATGTGCCTTTTTCCATTTTTTCAAAGTGATCAAAATGTTATCAAATGTGTAACGTTTAGCAAAATTGTGCTTCTGATGCATAGCATATAGGTAACCACTCATTTAAAACTGCTTTCAGAAACACATACATACATTTCTAATAAAAACACGTCCGTTTCAAACATCTTGAAACAAACACAGTATTTGAACGTTGACATTTTCTGCAAAAACTTGAAAACAAAAATGGTTTTGGCCATCTCTACACTAAATATAGCAAAAGACAAAAAGTGAAGCATGTAACTCTATAGCCTGGGACAAAAGCATCGTCGTATGCAGCACTGAGCAGGGATTCACAGGAAAGCAGGGCTGGGCAGCTCAGTGAGCGCGGTCGGTGAGCGCGGTCGGTGAGCACGGTCGGTGAGCACGGTCGGTGAGCACGGTCGGTGAGCACGGTCGGTGAGCACCACAGGCTGCTCCCGGTGGCTTTGTGCTCGCAGCCTCTCGCTCTTCAAGGGTGGCTCAAGCATCGCTGCCACGCGTGCCAAATGCCGGGGCTCAGGGTGCCAGCAAGGAACTTGTATGGACTAAAATGGCCCACCTGGAAGCTTATGCCAGGGTACAGCACCAAAACCCCGAGAAAAACCATGGCTTTCGCTAGTGCTGAGCCTGACCGTGCCTGTGGGATGCACAGGATCCGGTTCAAGGGGTTTAGAATCATAGAATCATAGAATGGTTAGGGCTGGAAGGGACCTTCAAAGGTCATCTAGTCCAACCCCCCTGCAAGGAACAGGGATATCTCCAACTAGATCAGGTTGCTCAGGGCCTCGTCCAACCTGGCCTTGAACGTCTCCAGGGATGGAGCATCCACCACCTTTCTGGGCAACCTGATTTAGGTTTAGATTCAGGACCAGGCAGATCTTCTTTGCTGTTTTTTTTCTGAGGAAAGCCTGTGTAGATGCTGTCCTGGTTGCCTCCCGCTCCCCAACACGCGGAGCTGACGCTGGCAAACAGCTGGAGGAGCGCGGCGAAGGCAGACGGGAGCACCAGGCTGCCACTGCGCCTGCGCAGCCACAGTCGTTATCCTGCACGATGACCCCCGCAACGGCTGTCCAGCCCTTGCACGTGGATCATGTACACAGAACTGCTCCCAAGGGGCTCAGATATCCCACAAAATGAAGGGCTTTGTAAGTTCTCCAAGAGCCGGTCTGTGAATGAAATTGGCCAACAAATACATGTAGCCCCTGCCTACAGGTTTGCAAGTCTCTTTCTCTCTCTCCCTCTCCCTCTGTCTCCATTCAATCAAGTAAAAATATTCATTTTAAATGAAAAAAAGGCACTAAGTATGGTTTGTCTCTTTTCTTTTTCCTTCCTTCCTTCCTTCCTTCCTTCCTTCCTTCCTTCCTTCCTTCCTTCCTTCCTTCCTTCCTTCCTTCTCTTCTGCCTTCCTTCCTTTTCTCTGTCTTTTGACTCTTTTGTCTCTTTCTCTCTTCCCTTCCTTTGACCTTTCTCCTCTCCTCTCCTCTCCTCTCCTCTCCTCTCCAGGCTTAGATGCTCTACAAGTTTTCAGTTTAGATAGTTTCCTTCTTAATCCTGGCCTCAGGTCTTGGTCTGTGAGGTGCAGGAGATACAATTACCACGTACTCTGATGTGAAATCCTCTGTACTGAGCCCCCCCTGCCCGGGTCAGGTCGCATCCTGCAGCCCCACGGAGCAGTGGGGCCCTGCTGAGCCCCACAAGTTGCGGTGCTTTGCTGAGAGCAGCCACCCGACCCAAGGGACTGGCTTTCTGGGAGGTCCCGTGGCCAACAGGGAGGATGTGCTGGGGGCTGCGGGAGCAGCCAGGCGTCCCCAGTACTGGGTACAGGCCAAACACCTGCCCTTGTGTCTGCTGACGTGAGCCACGTCCTGCAAACACCTCTACTGCTGCCATTAGTTGTGCCCTGGGCGCGCTCACCCCCACAGGATGTGGCCATTGCATCTGGTGGCCCAGTGGCCACCCCA